ATGCTGAGAAGAGGTTGGGCCCCGAATCCCCCAACCCCCAACCCCCAACCCCCAACCCCCAACCCCCAACCCCCAACCCCCAAACCCCAAACCCCAAACCCCAAACCCCATACCCTAAACCCCAAACCCTAAACCCTAAACCCCAAAGATTGAGCCCTTAACAGTCAGAACCCTTAAACCCCCCTCAGGCACTTCGGGTTTAGGGTTCCAGAGCTTCGGGACTTTAGCAGTGATTTCGGCTGTTTAAGGCATATTTTAGGGTTTGAAGTTTAGGGTTTAGGGTTTTGGGATTAAGGTTGAGGGTTTAGGGTTTAGGTGTTAGGAGGTTCTTGTGGGGTTTTGGGCTCTTTACGGTTTAATCGGGCTTGACAAGCTCAAATCAAACCTTGCGGGCGCGTTGGACTACAAGTCACAAGAGGTCATTGAGGACATTACTTTTCGGGATTTCGCAGGGACGAAGCCGTTCAAACGCGTAAAATCCGACGTTTGGCGGGTCAAGCTCGTGCAGTTTGAGCTGCTGACGAGGCAGCTTCTTGAGAAAGAGTTTCCTGAGCAACTGATGGCTGGCTCTGCCGTTGCGGGACAGGAAGACCAAGTGTTCAAACCCTACACCCGAAACTCTCAACCCTAAACCTTTGTGGGAGTTGGAGTTTGGATTTTGGGGTACACAAGCTCCAGCCCCAACCCACTTACTGAAGGCTCCCAAAGCCCTAAGCCCCAAAACCTTAAGTCCTAAGCCTCAAACCCCGAACCGCACCGAGAAACGCTAAGCCCGAAACCCTGAACCCTGAAGCCTGAACCCTGAAGCCTAAACCCTAAACCCTAAACTCCAAACCCCACCCTCGCCCCCCCCCCCCCCCCCCCCCCCCCCCCCCCCCCCCCCTTCAGAGGTAGACAAACTTAGGCTTGGTTGAGCCGACAATTTTCTGTGGCACTTCTTACTTTGAACATGATACCCTATACCCTATACCCTATACCCTAAACCCTATACCCTAAACCCCAAACCCCAAACCCTAAACCCTATTCCCTGGTTGTTAGCCGTAAATCTCATCCCCCACTGCGCTGTCAGGTTACAGGCGGTCTTGGACATTTACGTCACTCGCCTGCAGCCTAAAAAACACCTAAGGCTTAAGGCCTAAGGCTTAAGGTCTAAGGCCTAAGGCCTAAGGCCTTTAGGGTTGGGGGTTTAGGGGTTTAGGGTTTAGGGGTTAGGGTTTGGGGGTTTATGATTTGGGGGTTTAGGGTTTAGCGTTTCGGGGTTTAGGATTTAGGATGTAGGATCCAGGGTTTGTAGGACTCTGGGTACTTTGTTGATCTGGGAGGGTTCAGGGTTTAGGGTTTGGGGTTCAGGACCCCGAGCATAGACCCCCAAATAGTAGGATCCCCTAAACCCTAAACCCTAAACCCTAAACCCTAAACCCTAGACCCTAGACCCTAAACCCTAAACCCCAAACCCTAAACCCTAAACCCTAAACCCTAAACCCTAAACCCCAGTAAGGTACCCCTAATGTCGTAAACCTCCATATTTCTGTTTCCTGAAGCCCTAAGCCCTCGGCTTGAAACGCCAAGCGCTTAAAGCAGAAAGGTTCAGGGTTTAGGGTTTAGGGTTTGGGGTTTGGGGTTTAGGGTTTAGGATCAGGGTTTTCAAGCTGAGGCTGGAATCATTCAGACGTGGGTGGTTGGGGTCTTGCTTGCTTTCTTCAGGGAGGGGATTTAAGGATACTACAGGCCTATATAAATATCTACCAAGAGACTTAAACAAAGCCGAAATCTACCCCAAGATACAACCCCTAAATTGGGGCTGAGAGTTCGCCAAGCGGTTTCTTTCAGCTACACATCCCGACTTAAGGTATAGACCTCAACAAAACCTTAAAATATGCACACGCAAAACACCAGGCACTAGGGTTGGTATCAGGGCTTTCAGGCTTTGTTTATTAAGGTTTGAGTCTGACGTACCAAAGGAGAAGCAGATCCGAATGGCCAAGAAGAAGTCGGGGAACGAGGAGTGGATGCTTCGAACCCGGAAGCTTGACACCCTAAAGCCCAAACCCTAGACCCTCACCCGAAACCCTAAACCCTAAACTCTAGAAACTCAAACCCTACCATTCCACACTCCAGAAGGACCACCACAAAGACGTTCGCGTTCTCTCTAAACTAAACCTTTAGTGCCCTTTGCAGACACTGCGCCCTCATGCCCTAAACCCTAAACCCTAAATCCTAAATCCTAAACCCTAAACCCTAAACCTTCCAGGGGCCCAGGATCCTGTTTGCCCCAGGCTCTCACCTTAGGGGTTTAGGGTTCAGGGCCTGGGGTTTAAAGTTCCTTGTTCCGGGTTTGGGGTTTGGGGTGTAGGGTTCGACGTTTGGGTTTAGGATCCCCAAAATCCCAAAAACCTAAACCCTCCTCCCCTCCTCCCCTTTCCTCCCCTTTCCTCCCCTTTCCTCCCCTCCCCTCCCCTCCCCCTGCCCTCCCCCTGCCCTCCCCTGCCCTCCCCTGCCCTCCCCTGCCCTCCTCTGCCCTCCCCTGCCCTCCCCTCGCTCGCTCTCTCTCTCTCTCTCTGTCTGTCTCGCTCTCTCGCTCTCGCTCTCTCTCTCTCTCTCTCTCTCTCTCTCTCTCTCTCTCTCTCTCTCTCTCTCTCTCTCTCTCTCTCTCTCTCTCTCTCTCTCTCTCTCTCTCACTCATTCACTCACTCACCTCAACTCACCTCAACTCACCTCAACTCACCTCACCTCACCTCACCTCACCTCACCTCACCTCACCTCACTCACTCAGTCTCTCTCAATCACTCTGGCTCTCTCTCTCTCTCTCTCTCTCTCGCTGTGCTGGCTCTCTGTCTCACTCACATAGGGTTTAGGGTGTAGGGTTTCGGGTTTCCGGTTAGGCATTCGGGGGGGGGGGGGTGTAGGGTTTAGGGCTTAGAAGATGATGGGGTGTGGGTTTCGGGTTGAGGGCGTCGGGTCTTGGTCATGGGGGCTGTTGTCGTTTCATCTTCGTAGTCTAGGGTTGGGATGTTCCGCCCTATGCTAACTTAGTAGGGATTATGATGGGGGGGTTACTACGATCCTTACTAAGGACTGTTAGTATAAGGGGGAACATCCCAAGTGCAGGGTACCAAATAATTAGGGCCCATCACTTGCATCAGCCCGCGCCGTTGTGCTGCGCGAGGAGGACACCGAAAGCAGCCAGGTTGGCGCACCCTCAACCCTGAACCCTGAACCCTCAACCCTAAACCCTAAACCCTCAACCCTGAACGGTAAACCCTAACAAGCCACTTCAAGGAAAAACCCCAAACCCTAAACCTTACACCCCTAAACCCAAGACCCAAAACCCAAAACCTTAAACCCGTACCCCTAAACCCTAAACCCTCTAAACCCTAAACCCTAAACCTTAAACCCTAAAACCCTAAACCCTGAACCCCGAGCCCCAAACTAAAAACCCTGAGCCCAGGCTTCCCGAGTCTAAGGGCCCCGGGGCAGGGTGACGGCTCGTGTGTATTGGGGTTTTAGGGTTTAGGGTTTAGGGTCATGAATTGTGATGGATGGTGATCATGCACATGTTCATTAGGGTTTCGGGTTTAGGTCCTGTTGGTTGGGGTTTGGGGCTTAGGGATTAGGAGTTAGGGCTTCGGGGCTTGGAGTATAGGTAGTATCGTCACCGGGTTGTTTGGGTTTCATGCGGCATTCGGGCTGGCAGACTTGGGCCATGCAGCACTCACCTTAAGCCCTAAAACCCTAATCCCTAGACCCTAAACTCTAAACCCTAAAACCCTAAACCCTAAACTCTAAACCCTAAAACCCTAAACCCTAAACTCTAAACCCTAAAACCCTAAACCCTGAACCCCAGGGATTTTGCTCCTCGAGCGCCTATGACACTCAAGGGGCCACGTTCCGAAACTGCATCATTTCGGAAGCCAAAGCCCTAAACCCTAAACCCTAAACCAAACATCCCCGGCCCAAAGCCCTAAACCCCAAAGAGGGTCTTCAGGGTTTAGGGTTCATGGTTTAGGGTTTAGGGTTTAGGGTTTAGGGTTTTAGGATTTAGGATGAAGGGTTTAGGGTTTAGGGCTAGGGTTTAGGGTTCAGGGTTTAGGGTTTAGGGTTTAGGGTTTGGGCTTCAGGGTTTCGGGAAGCAGGCGGCTGTGGAGGCCAGCAGCAACCGCGAGGGCAAGCAGGCGCGGCCGTGCTTGGAGGGTTTCGGGTTTCGGGTTTAGGGCTTCGGATAAACCCTAAACACCCCTAAAAGCCCTAAACGCCCTAAACGCACTAAACGCCCCAAACGCCCCAAACGCCCTAAACCCTAAAACCCAGAAGCAACCCCGCCTCCCCAAACCCACATGGGGCACTCATCGCCGCCTGAGCCCGCAAATCCTTAGTGAAATAGTGTAGGGTTTAGGTTCGTTTGTTTAGGACCAGGAGGGAAGGCAATCAAGGAGGAAGTTTCTGAGGTTGGCTTGTGCCCAAGCCCTCTAAGTATATGGGGTCTGGGTTTGTTTTCCTAACTCTGCGGCATCCTAAACCCCAAGCCGAAAACCCTGAACCCGAAACCCTGCCCAAAACTTGATGCACGGCTGTCGCAGCGCGATTCAACATTGTGGGACTGAAGAGATCAAACCCTAAACCCTAAACCCTAAACCCTAAACGCTAAACCCTAAACCCTAGGGTTCTTTCTGTGCTGGTTAGGGTCCGAAACCCTCAGCCCTCGACCCCAAACCCTAAGCCCTCAACCCTAGACCCCAAAACCCTGCGCCCAGTAAAAGGTGTAGGGTTTCGGATACCTCCAACCCTAACCCCTGAACCCTCAATCCGCAACCCTCAACCCTCAACCCTAAACCCTTAAACCCTACACCGTAAACCCAAAGCCAAAAACCGCCAACCCCAAACCCTGAACCCCAAACCCTAAATCCTAAACCCTAAACCCTAAACCCTAAACTCTAAACCCTAAACCCTAAACCCTAAACCCTAAACCCTAAACCGCGAGCTTTGGGATCTGTTTCACCACGATGCTCCGCGTGTGGAGGGCCTCGGGCCAGGAGCTCGCAGCCCTGTCCATGGAGGACCGCAAGGGACATCCCTAAACCCTAAACCCTAAACCCTAAGCCCTAAACCCTAAGCCCTAAGCCCTAAGCCCTAAACCCCAAACCCTAAACCCTAAACCCTAAACCCTAAACCCTAAACCCTAAACCCGAAGCCCTAGTCTAGTGCCCCTGAGGAGCTCAGCAACGTGAAGGCCCTCAAGCGACAGCTGCGCGCGCTCCACGGCTTCCCCGTGTGCGCCCAGCAGCTCCTGCACGCCTCTGGGCTTCGAAGTGAGGGTTTAGGGTTTAGGGTTTAGGGTTTGGGGTTTAGGGTTTAGGGTTTAGGGTTTAGGGCTGAAAGTTCAGGGTTTAGGGTTTAGGGTTCAGGGTCTAGGGTTTGGAGTTTAGAGTTTAGGGTTTAAGGTTTAGGATGGCATCCGAAAACCAAAGCCATCTACCTCGGCTGGAGGAGGACCGCCTCCTTGAGAACGACGCCAAGCTGACGGCTCCTCTGGACTTGCAGCTCGTGCTGCAGCCGATCTCTGCGACCCAGATACCCGATGCTAACACTGAGCTCGCCGCTCGTCTCCCTCCCTTCCCTCCCCTCTCCATTCCGTCAGGCTTAAGGATCAAAGGAATTGGGGTTTAGGGTTTCGGGCCCACAGCTCTACCCCAAAAATCCAAGAAGAAAGGAAGTGGGGTTGGTTAGAGTTGAGGGTTTGGGGCCCCAAACGCGCCCCGAGACCCCTGAACCCACAAGCGCTCCTACCAGCCTGGCGAACCTCGACATCGCCCTACAAGCTCAATAAGCATACTTCGCGATGCCCTTTCTTTTTTTTGGCCCTGCTGTGTTCAGCAACTGCCGGGGTAGTTCCCTCATTTAGGTTCCCTTTGTGGGCCCCCTTATGTAGTGCGCCACCATGAAAATATGGACGCCCAAGAAGGGAAGCTAATTCAGAGAACTACCCGCTAGACCCTAAACACTAAACCCTCAACCCGAAACCCGAAACCCTTAGACCCCTAGACCCTTAGACCCTAAAACCCTAAAACCCTAAAACCCTAAAACCCTAAAAACCCTAAAACCCTAGAACCCTAAAACCCAAAAACCCTAAAACCCTAAAACCCTAAAACCCCAAAAACCCCAAACCCCACACCCTAAACCCAAAGATCCTAAAACCCTAAAACCCAAAAACCCAAAAACCCTAAAACCCCAAACCCCAAACCCCAAACCCTAAACCCTAAACCCTAAACCCTAAACCCTAAACCCTAAACCCTAAACCCTAAACCCTAAACCCTAAATATACCAAAGGTTTTGTACGCAGCGCTGGGCGGCCACGTGGCAGTTGCCCGCTTCCTCCTGGGCGCAAGCTTTACATTGGACGTGGAGGAAGACCAGAGCCGGGGCTTGGGGGTTTAGGGTTTAGGGTTTAGGGTTTAGAGTCTAGGGTTTAGGGTTTAGGGTTGAGGGTTTAGGGTTTAGGGTTTAGGGTCTAGGGTTTAGGGTTTCGGGTTTAGGGTTTAGGGTTGAGGGTTTAGGGTTTAGGGTTAGCTCTGTACAGCCCGTGTTCCCTCCCCCTGATGTTTCACAAGCACCCTCGAAATAGAGACCTTGTAGGTGCCCTTCTCAGAGGGTTTAGGGTTTAGGGTTTAGGGTTTAGGGTTTAGGGTTTAGGGTTTAGGGTTTTACTTTGAGACTTGAGAGGAACCCCAGGCCATGAGAAGCCGATTCATGAGCCTTCACCCCCTAGACCCTGAGCCCAGCTGATCGACAGGCCTGCCCCCTGAAACCCATTTAGGGTTTAGGGTTCAGGGTTCAGGGTTTAGGGTTTAGGGCTAGGGTTTAGGGTTCAGGGTTTAGGATCCTCAAACAGGGAGCCCTGGTTCTTGCCTCTGAAAGCGGGCACACGGAGTTCGCCCACTTGATGCTGGAGGCGGGGGCTGACAAAGACTGCCGGGACAATGGTGGGAGGACCGGGTGCTCAGGTTGGGATGTTTCAGGGTTTAGGGTTTAGGGTTTCGGGTTTTCCCCTTATACTTAGGGGGGTGCTAGAATCCCTAGTAAGGACTGTTTGTAGAAGGGGGGAAGATCCAAGGGGGGTTATTTGGGTATTTAGGGACTATGTAAGGTATATGTAGGGGTCAAAAAGGAGAGTAAGATTAAGGGTCCCTTCTAGGGGTCCCTCCTCTTCCCGCTTATCAGGGGGTTCAGGTTTCGGATCATGTGGAGGTTTGGGCTGTGAGGATGACAGGGCTTAGGGGGGGTTGGGGGAGGCCTTTTTTAAGATGCCCACAAGCAAGGCATGGTTTAGGGTTTAGGGTTTAGGGTTTAGGGTTTAGTTTCCCTTCCCCCCCATAGTCTGCATAAGTCGCCGGGGCAGGACGGCTCTCATCAGAGCATCGCTCGCCGGCCAGCTCGAGGCGGTCCAGCTGCTCCTGGAAGCGGGCGCCGAGAAAGACACGCAGGACTCTGAGCAAAGGACCGGCCTCCACTGGAAGAACTACTCGTAGCATCCCCTTATGGTCCCTCTCTCTCTCTCTCGCAATATATATATATATATATATATATACTAGAATCCCCCCCCACCCCACCCCACCCCCCCCCCCCCAAAAAAAAAACAAAACACCCTATTCTTATTATTAAGGCCCCTATCCTTAAACCCTAAACCCTAAACCCAAAACCCCTAAGGCCCCTCTATTGCTGGATTCTGAGCAAAGGACAGCTCTCCATTGCGCCTCTGACCGCGGCCACGTCGAGATTGCGCGCTTGCTGTTGGAAGCCGGCGCAGACAGACACTTGAAGGGCAGGTATGGTATGACCGCCCTTACCTGCGCAAGTGACCGAGGCTACATTGAGGTTGTGCATTTGCTCTTGGATGCGGGGGACGACAAAGACGTGAAAGCCCGTGACTACGTGACAGCCCTTACCCGTGCATCCGAGAAAGGTCACGTCGAAATGATTCGCTCTCTGCTGGGTCGCGTGACGGATGCTGACAAGGACTTCAAGTACCGATATGGGCTGATGACCGCCCTCATCTGTGCAGCTGACAAGGGCCACGCCGACACCGTGCGCGTGCTGTTGAAGGCCGGTGCTGACAAGGGCCTGCAGGACCCTGTGAAGAAGGAGCTTCGGTGCTACGGTGATACGGCCTTGATTCATGCGTCGGCCAAGGGCCACTGTGAGGTGCTGCGATTGCTCCTGGAAGCCGGTATGGACGTGGATGTGAGAGACAGGGATGACAGGACGGCTCTCATGCATGCGTCCGATGAGGGCCATGTGGAGATAGTGCGGTTGCTGCTGGAGGCCGGCGCCAGCAAGGACCTGAAGAGCAGCTACCTCGACCAGACGGCCCTGAGTTGCGCATCTGACAAGGGCCACGGTGCCGTGGTGCAGCTGCTGTTGGGAGCAGAGACTGAGAAGAGCTTCCCTGCTCGTTGCACAGACAGCATGCTTTCGCTCTGACAAAATTCCCTTCCGCGATGGGTCGTGAAGAGTATTTCGTAGGAAAGGCTCGTTCCTACGAAAGACTCTTCTTACTGTGCTTTCGACCGCTATCGCCCTAAACCTGAATAGTATGTTGAGACATTTCAGCATTTTATTCTGAAGAGCTATTTCTGCTTTCCCTGCAAGGCTAAATCCGCAAACCCTCACCGAATGCCTACACCCAAAACCAAGCCCCACATCCTAAAGTATAAACCCTCAAGCCTACACCCTAAACCCCAAACCCCATACCCCAAACCCTTCCTTAGAAGAAAACTCGAAGCTGCATCGCAAAGCCTGAACTGGCGGTTTAGTGTTTCGGTTAGGGTTTGGAGTTTTGGGTGTTTAGGAAATCCAGGGCTTCAGGGGTTTCAGGGTTTAGGGGTTCAGGGTTGAGGGTTTCGGGGCTTAGGGTGTTCAGGAGTTTGAGATGGGGTTTTGGGGTTTGTCGGTGACTTCAGGGTGTGGTGTTTGAACTACAGCCTACATAAACCCTGAACCCCAAACCCTAAACCCCAAGCCCTCAGCCCTAAGCCCTAAGCCCTAAACCCTAAACCCTAACCCCTAACCCCTAAACCCTAAACCCTAAACCCTAAACCCTAAGCCCTCAGCCCTAAGCCCTGAGCCCTAAGGGGTTGGTTGTTTGTGTTTACCTGTATCTAAACCCTAAACCCTACACCCTAAGTAGCCTTAAATCCTAAACCCTCAAACCCCTAAACCCTAGACACCCTTAACCCTAAACCCTTAGTAGCCTTAAACTCTAAGCCCTAAAAACCCTAAAACCCTAAACCCTAGACTCAGGCGGGCTCGGAGCTTACGCGGAGTTGTGGTCTAGGGTGTTTGGCGGTTCCCAAAGCCCTGAACCCATAAACTGAACACTGCTGTGAGTCCGAAACCCCAAACCTTAAACCCTAAACCCTAAACCCTAAACCCTAAACCCTAAACCCTAAACCCTAAACCCTAAACCCTAAACCCTAAACCCTAGACCCTAAACCCTAAACCCTAAACCCCAAACCCTTAAACCCCCAAACCCTAAACCCTAAACGTCGAAGCCGGGAGTGATTCTCGCCAGGAAGCCCCCAACGCCGAGTAAGTCTGCGCAAGGTCGGCTTGCTTTCTTCAGGGTTTAGGGTTTAGGGTTTAGGGTTTAGGGTTTAGGGTTTAGGGTTGCAGGTTTACGGTTTGGGTTTGGGGATTTAGGGTTTAGGGTTGAGGGTTGAGGGTTTCGGGTCCCTGGATATGGGCCCTCAACTGGGGAGCCCTTATATACCCTGACCTCCCTTAGGGTTTCTGCAGGGCTAAACCCTAAACCCTAAACCCTAAACCCTAAACCCTAAACCCTAAACCCTAAACCCTAAACCCTAAACCCTAAACCCTAAACCCTAAACCCTAAACCCTAAGCCCTAAACCCTAAACACTGAACCCTGAACCCTGAACCCGAACCCCGAAGATTAAGAGGGGCTCATCATCGTTGTTTTGGGGAATGTGATTTCCGGTATCCGATGAGAGGCTCAACACAAACCGCTCCCTAATCCTTAAGCCCTGAACCCTGAACCCCCTGAACAGCCTAAACCCTAAACCCCAAACCCTAAACCCCTGCCCGCCAAAACCCTAAGCCCCAAACCCCCCAACCCCAAACATTGAGACCCGAGGCCCCCCACATGCTCAAGCCGTGCTACTAAGCAGGTAAACCCCAGACCCTTGAGGGTGAGACCTGAACCCTTGAAGGGTTTTTGGGTTTGGGGTCTGCAAACGCCTTTCGGGTTTGGGGTTTACAGTTTAGGTTTTAGCGTTTTGGGGCTTACAGAGCTTTATAGGGTTTGTGCCGGTTAGGGTTCGTAGGGCGTTGAAGCCGCCCGAAGCCGAGCTAAATCCTCCCGCAAAACAGAGCCCCTGGCACCCTCAAGCTGTTAGCCGCAAGGCCCTGGCAGGGTTTCAGGGTAGAGGCTTTTTTGGGTTTAGGGTTTAGGGTTTGGGGTTTAGGGTTTAGGGTTTGGGGTTTAGCATGAAAACGCCGGCTGCAGGCGCGATTTCCTGAAGCGCCTGAGCTCGCGGCCGCGTGGCTGCGAGCTGCGCTTCTCAATAAACTTAAAAAACCCCTAAACCCCAAACCCTAAACCCCTAAACCCTAAACCCTAAACCCTAAACCCTAAACCCTAAACCCTAAACCCTAAACCCTAAACCCTAAACCCTTACATCTGAAAAAGCTTAAAGCGAACACTATGCCCAGGATCAAGAGCCAAGATCCTAAAGCCCTAAACCCTAAACCCCACACCCTACACCCTAGTTACACCCTAAACCCTAAACCCTAAACCCTAAACCCTAAACCCTAAACCCTAAACCCTAAACGCTAAACCCCTCGGCACTTTCAAGCTGAAGCTTCGCCGCGACGTCCGGCAAGCCCTGCTCGGGCGTAGGATGATAGGAGCGCGGCCACCCTGAACTCCAAACCCAACCCTAAACCCTCAACCCTGAACCCTAAGCCGTAAACCCTAAACCCTAAACCCTAAGCCCTAAACCCTAAACCCCAAGCCCTAAACCCTAAACCCTAAACCCTAAACCATAAACCCTAAACCCTAAACCCTAAACCCCCAAACTCTCAACCCCCAAACCCTGAACCCTGAACCCTGAAACCTGAGCCCTGAACCCTCAAGACAAAATACCCGCCCCCCACCCTCCCCCTCACCCCCCCACCCTACCTCCCCCCCCCCAAACAAAAAAAAAGGTGTGAACCTAGGTTCCAACGTTCAAAACGTTTCGGTCAAAACTTTTGGGGCCCAAACAATTTACAATTTCTATAAACCCTGCACCCTAACCTAAACCCTAAACCCAAAACCCTAAACCCTAAATCCTGAACGCTGAACCCTAAACCCCGAACCCTGAGCCCTAAACCCTAAACCCTAAACCCTCAATCCTGAACCCTGAACCCTGAACCCTGGGGCAGGGTGGCCGCGTGCGGGTTTTCGCGAAAGCGTTGGGAAGGGCTTTTCCACGGACAGCGCGGCTGACGTCTGACATTGGGGGGAGCAAGGTAGTGTTTAGGGTTTAGGGTTTAGGGTTTAGGGTTTAGGGTTTAGGGTTTAGGGCCTGGAAAATGCAGCGTGCAGATCTGGAGAATGTACACTTGAGGACGCTCGATGCCTCTGTGACTCCGCCGGCGAGTCCGCTAGCCCATGTTTTCGGCTGGCTGGGTGCCCCTGAACCCCCAAATACGGTTCAGGGTTCAGGGTTTAGGGTTTAGGGTTTAGGGTTTAGGGTTTAGGGTTTAGGGTAACCCCGAACTCTACTCTGAGCTGCAAGCCCTGATTCCCTGAGCCCCCAGCCCTACACCATGAGCCCCAATCTTTGCACGCCTCTACCCTAAGCCGTGAACTGCAAGCCCGCAAACCTCAACCCTGAACCCTGAACCCCCTGAACCCTGAGCCCTAAACCCTAAACCCTAAACCTGAGCCACCAAGTAAGGCCTCACCTCCCAAGGAAGCCCTCCTCCCCTAAACCCAACACCCAAAACCCCTAATTTCAACCCTAAACCCCAAACCCTAAACCCTAAACCCTAAACCCCAAACCCTGAACCCCAAACCCTAAGCCCCAAACACCAGACCCTAAACCCCAAACACCAAACCCCGAACCCTAAACCCCAAACCCCAAACACCAAACCCCGAACCCTAAACCCCAAACCCTAAACCCCAAACCCCAAATACCAAACCCTAAACCCTAAGCCCCAATTCCTAAACCCCGAAGCCCGAACCCCAAACCCTAAACCCTAAACCCTAAACCCTAAACCCTAAACCCCCAAACCCTAAACCCCAGGCGCCTTGCCACGCCCATTTTAACCCGCTAGTGGCTTCGCCCTCTCGCGCAGGTTGCCGGCTGGGCAGTTGGCCCCGGCTCCTGCACCCCGAACCCTCCCTGGTTCAGGCTTTAGAGGTTTAGAGGTTTAGAGGTTTAGAGGTTTAGAGGTTTAGGGTTTAGGGTTTAGGGTTTAGGGTTTAGGGTTTAGGGGGAGCGGGGGCTCTTGCGCGGTCTTCCCAAGTTTGCTCAGCACTCTCCGCAAGGAGGGAGCTTCTTGTGGAGCATGCTATAGGCTCTCCACGGGCTCCTCTCGGCTCTCCACGGGCTCCTCGGACCAGTGATGGACAGGGAATCGATGTGAAGAGTTTTTGTTTGGGGTTTAGGGTTTAGGGGTTAGGGGTTAGTTTTCAGGGTTTAGGGTTTAGGGCTTGGGGTTTGGGCTTCCCCCCCCACCCCCCCCAAACCTCAAGACCCCAAACCCTGCGCTCAAGAAACCAGCCTCAGCCTAGGGCCTATACGGCCTAAGGGGACTTAGGGGACGGCGCACGCCTAGGGTAGGGCTTCCCAGGCTTCCCAGCCGGATTCTGTGGGGTTTAGGGTTTAGGATTTAGAGTTCAGGGTTTGGATGCACGAGCCTGCTTGGTGGTTGAGGGTTTAGGGTTTAGGCTTTGGGTTGGAGGGTTTAGGGTTTAGGGGCTTACAGACCCATCCTTCCCTGCCAATGCCCACAGACCCCCCAGCCTGAAACCCCTAAACCGTGCACCCGCAACCCCTCCCAAACCCTAAACCCAACCCCCAAACCCCAAACCCTCTCGCCGAAGCTTTAAGGAAGCCCTAAACCCTAAACCCCAAACCCCAAACCCTCAACCCTACACCCTAAACCCTAAACCTTAAGCCCTGAACCCTAAAGCCTCAACCCTAAACCCTGTCTTTAGGGTTCAAGTTTAGGGTTGATGGCTTTAGGCCTGCGATGCCGATCTGCACATGCGGCTGCCGTTGTAGCCGTTTAGTATGGCTGGTGTCCCCGAAGAACAGCCCTGAACCTTGAAACCCTAAACCCTACACCCTACAGCCCTGAGCCCGCGCACAAAGGCCGGGAACCTCAAATCCCAGTTAGGGCAAGGCTTAGAGGGCTTGAGAGCAGAGATTTATTGGGTTATAGGGTTGAGGGTTGAGGGTTTAGGGTTTAG